AACATTATTTCTGTACAACTGATTTCTATGGCTCATTCACACATGTAATTCATCTTCTGGTGCTAGTCAGTGATGAATACCCATGTACGAACTGGCTTCTTGTTCATGGGGATAACTGCCAAAACAGTATGGGCAAGCTTCTCAACTTTGTAGACTTCCATTTGATGGGACAGGTACATATCCCTATAGAAAAGCAGTTTTAAGTCTTATTTTTAAATCTTGTTTTGCCACAAATACAACATCTAGCATTCGAAAAACAGGAAGAAGATGGAATTAAGACGCTAGGAGGGAATCTAGAACATATCCATATGCTATATGACAATGATTTTCAAGTTTTGAATTTTCGAGAAATCCTCACCACATTAATTTCCAGAACTGTCCCTGCATGACTCCCATGGAACTATCCTGACCTGGATAGCCTAGGCTAGCCCAATCCCATCAGACTTCAGAAGGTAAGCAGGGTCAACCTTGGCTAGTATTAGGAAGGGCAACCTCCAAGGATGCCAGGGCTGCGACACAGAGGGAGGCAATGGAAAACCACCTCTGAAACATTTCTTGCCTTAAAAACAAGTCTAGCTCACCACCTAGTGCTGCATAATGCTAAAAGAGGTAGAACTTCTGGCTGCCAGACAATCTTAGGATCTTCTGGCTATTTTACACACAATGCTATATGATAATTGATTAATTCCCATGGAACTCCAGAAAATTCTGAAGTAGTTCTACAGTTCATGTGGTGCTCCAGCCACACCTGCCAAAACTCAGTGTTGACCTGCTTACGTGGATATCATGTTATAACAGTTTCCTGGAAGATAAGTAGTAGAAGATAGGCTATCTTGCAGGGAAACTTATTCATCATTTACTGATCTCATTGAGGAAACACTGAAAATCCTTTAGAAAGTTCAACATTCCATGGAACAAAATTCAAAACATCAGTGTTATATGAGCAGGTCCTCGAGTCTTCGGCCCCTGCCATGGGGGGGGGGGGGCGCCAGTGTGACCGGGGCCTTCATTTCCTCAAAAATGTTCTCAATATTATTTGCATGTCAACTGTGTACCAATGTCATTAAAATTGTGTTTAGATAGCATGTACGTTATGAAAGAAAGAAAGAAAGAAAGAAAGAAAGAAAGAAAGAAAGAAAGAAAGAAAGAACAACAGGTTGATTCCTGAGAAAAGCTCACAGACGAAGTTGGCAGAGCAGTTCATCTTCCCCTTCCCTAAGCAGCTTCTAATTTGAACCAAAACTCTTCTCAGAGGATTGGAAGAACCTCACAAACAAAATTTACCACCATATGGGGAGCTGCAGGGATGAATCAGGTACAATTTCCTCCTTCTCCCTCCTCTGCTGACCTACACTACCTGTAAAAGAGGGAAAAGGAAACAATTTTACCTGCTTCTTTTTCAGTGCTGCAGGTCCCTATACTGTACTGCATTTTATTTGCTTGTGAGTTTGTCTCCATCCCAAAAGCAGTCCGCTTAGGGAAGGTGAAGGAAGGCAAAGATCAGCTTCATCAGCTTCTTTTGTGAGCTTTTCCTCTACATCCAATCCATTAACAGCAAAACGAATGAATGAGTGAGTGAATGAATGAATGAATGGCATGGGCTAAAGCCAAAAAACCTATGACCATGTGCAGAATTGAAATGAAACAGCCGTATTGGTTCATCTGTATAGTGTCAGTCTCATATGGTGGTGATGGGAGTAGGTTTGCCAGCTCTGGGATGGGAAATACCTCAAGAGTTTGGAGGCAGAGCCTGAGAGGGGCAGGGTCTGGGAAGGGGAGGGACTCTAATGCAGCTGAATGCCAGAGTCTACCTACCAAATCAGCCATTGTCTCCAGGTAAACTGATCTGTTGCCTGGGGATCACTTGTAATCCCAGGAGATCTCCACCCACCACCTTGGACGTTAGCAACCCTAGATGGGAGCTGTTTCAAATGACCAGGGCAGCTTCTTTTAACTCAGGAGAAGAAATATTCATCTCCAGTGAGACTGTATTTTAAAGCTAATATTCCAAACATCACTGGGTAGCACACACCATCAGGAATGGTGGCTGCACATTTATTTATTTCATTTATATCCCACCTTTCTCGCCTAGCTGACTGAGGGAGCTTTGACTCTTGGAAGCTTATATCCCCCAAAGTCTTGTTGGTCTCTATGTTACTACTGACCTTGAATCTAGTTCTTCTATTGCAGAACAACAACACAGTTATCCTCCTGACACTTTCCCCCCAATAGGGATCCAGCAGAGCCTACACCATTCTCCTCTTCATCATTTCATCCTCACAACAACCCTGTGAGGTCAGTTATGTTGAGGTGTGTGTGACTGACCCAAGGTCACACATCAAGTTGCCATGGCAGAGTGACAAATTTGATCTTGGGTCTTCCAGCTCCTAGCCTGAGACTCTAACCACTATGCCGCACTAGTATAACCTCTCTCAAATGCGGCTGGGCTGGAATGAGGCTGGAAATATTTTAAGACCTAAGCAAAATTGATTTTTCTCATCACTGTAGTGTTGTGATGGGAGAAATATGTGCCTGTGGAACATCTACCTTTCAGAGTCCCTGGAGGGACAAGCCTTAGAAATGGCTTGTTAGTCTGTACCCTAGTCCCACATCAAAACCTTTTCTTCACTTAATGTTAAATGAGCATCCTTTATTATTTGACCAACTGTTCAGAAGCTCTGCAAACTGCATGAATGTTTAGGACATAAAAGAATGCCTCATCTGAAAGTTCAAATGGTGGGCAGAATCAGTTGTGATCAGAACTTCACGAAAGCTTGCAAAAGCAGCAGGGGTATGAACACTGAAACTAACACACCCCGTAGGCTGCATTTCACACTCAGTAATGATTCACGGAACCCTCAGGTGTACAGATCAATGAGGAGTTGCCCCAAGAGGTGATGAAAACATACCCAGACAGATATGAAACGGACCTTCTGGACAGCAACAGAAAATACCAAGGCACTTGGCCAGATCAGATCAGGTACCTTGAGTCCCATTACCGACTGATAAATGTCACGGGGGAAAGGACTTAGTTCATTATTTGCAATGCCTTGGGCTCACAAAAATCTGTGGTAAGGAAAAGCCAGCAGAAGGGGTTTGTACGCATCATTTCATTAATTTCTAGATAAGGATCACCTGTTCTTTCCTTTTCCCTTTCCCTGACACCACCCCCATAAAATCCAATTATACACACATTGAAGAGCTAGCATCAAATGATTGGTTGCAGCTTTTGTAGCAGCTGCATTTTAAAAAAAAGATTCCATCCTTGCTACCAACTAGCTGACATTAAAACGATTCCATCCTTGCTACCAACTAGCTGACAGAGCACTGATATACATTGACCTATTCTTTATCGCTTGTGTGGCCTGAAAGAACCACATCCTTTTGTTTAATGAAATCACTGATAAGAGCGTCAGTGTCTTAGGTGTACTTGCTAGAGCAGGCTTCTTCTCTTTCCCATAGCTCACCCACAAGGCAGTTGGTTTGATGTTGTTATATACAAATCAAAGGATGGGAAGTGTTTGTATATAACATGTGTACATCCTGTACAATATCTAGAGGCACTGTAGCCAGCCTCATCAGCCCTGAACCTAGGGTGGTCTTTCCCGAGAGAGAGACACCCCAAAAACGACCTCTGAACCTCCACAAGCAGTGCCCTATGAAGTCAGGCTTGGCTTAAACAGTGGCTTTTGCTGGGAGGCTAGAAGAACCACATCATGGCTGAGAAAACTCAGGCCAAAGAGAATTCTCCAGGCTGGCTGCAATGCCAAGCGTCCTGCATGCAAGCAACCCCCCCCCCCAATCTATCCTGTCAGCTTAGTCCAAAGAGGACTAGAATGGGTAAGTATCTGCCGTTGCCTCAGGCATCTTCTACTGACCAAATGGCTAGTCTTTTGTCTGTCAAATGTACAGGCAGGCAGGGACAAAAAGCCTCTGGCCTGTGCTATTGTCATGAATGAAGTGTGTTGCATATTTCCATCCTCCTCTCCTGTTTCACCGATTTGCATTCTTATGGCTATGCCAGACCTATCAAGGAAACATTAACTCTCCATGTCTAGTGAATGGTCAGCCATTCAGGTTCATCCTGCCACACATTAAGAAACATCACTCCCTATCGTTCCACAATGCACACCCCCAGTACAGTCATCCAACACCTGGCTTCTATTGTTAAATCCAGACCCTGCCTCTCTGGAAGCTCATTGGTCATACCTAAGGTCTGCCCCTACTCGCATCATACACCCCTGGGACCCAGGATTGGCCTAGGTAATCTATTGTTCTCACCTGAGACCAGCCCCCAGGGCCACCCATCGGTCTGCATTGTTTTCCTATGGTTATATCCCAGCGAACACATGGCCTCAGAGTGTGTGCTTCTGGCCTGATGCCAACTGGCAGTCCATCCTCAAACCTCTGGGTTTGAGCCATAATCTCATCTCCATGGTCCCCTGCACATCTGGACAGGTTGTATTACCCAGTAACAGACCCATCAAGTCACTATCAATCACCTCTGCTTTCTTAGTTCTGTATTGCTTGCTCTTTTGAATGTTTAGTGTGCTGGTACTTAGGGAAATACCTAAATAAAAACTGTTAGATCGCGCTAACAAAGGACTTGTAGAGTGATTTCAGCAAGTGATTCAGCTTTAATACGAACAAGCACTCAAACGCATGCAGAAACCAGAACAGAACAACATTGGAGCTGGGCTCCTTTTAAACATACCGGGCTAATATAGCCACTCCTACTATGTGCATAACAACCAATCAGATTGCAAAGATAAGGGCAAATCAGTGTTCTTCCCGCTCCGGGAATAGTCCGTTCTGATTGGTCGCTGTTCCAATAGCCTTTGAGTATCGTTGGAGCCTTTGCTGGCTCGAAGCTCAACATGGGAGGGGAATTAGGTGATTCATGTTAAACTGTCAGTACATAACAATTCCTCCCCCCTAAGTTAAAACATCACATTTTTATTTTACAGTTGTATTTACATATCACATTTTCCCTATGCCGGTCAGGCAGTATCAAAACGTTTGCTGCAATCATAGTCAGCTAGATACGATGGTGCTCTGTGAGTACATTGAGACCGTCTAAGGGCAATAGGTTCGCTGTGTGGGGCTTCTAACTGTGGCTCCACAGACCTTGAGTCAGGCGCTTTTACGGCCGGGTCTGTTGTTTCAATGTCAGGACTTTGCCCTGCAGTGCTCGGTGACTCTGCGTGTTCCTCCAACACGGGAGGTGGGGAGACAATTTCGGATGACCCAGCCGGAGAGTCAGCACTGTCCTTGGCCCAACGCCTCCTTAACTGGTCCACGTGGCGCTGCCATCTCCTACCGTCAGTCAGCAGCACAACATACATTCTAGAGCCTATACATTCACATATTTCCCTGGGGATCCATAAGTGCCCGCTAGTGTAATTCCGGGCGAAAACTTTGTCCCCGGCCTCAAACATGTGCACCTTCGTATGTGAGTCAGTACGCTCCTCCTGTTGGTCGTTCAGGTCGGGGTGCAGTCTATTTAACCGGGTAGTTAGCCGCCTACCCATAAGGAGTTCGGCCGGGCTACGGCCTGTCGTGCTACAGGGGGTGGTGTGTTGGCGCAATAGGAATGCCCCCAGCCTCAAACTCCAATCCCCCTCTGTTGATCGCCCCAGAGCTTCTTTGGCCATGCGGACCATACGTTCAGCCTGCCCGTTGGAGGCTGGGTGGAATGGGGCAGCAGTAATTTGGCGGATGCCATTGTCAGCTAGGAACTGCCTGAATTCGTCAGACACAAACTGAGGGCCGTTGTCGCTGACCAGAGTGTCCGGCAACCCGTGGGTTACGAATAGCCTACGGAGCGCATGTATGACAGCTGCGGAAGTGGTTGTATTCATTTGCACTACCTCCAGCCATTTAGACCAGGCATCTACAATGATTAGAAACATTTGTCCCTGTACCGGGCCGGCGAAATCCATGTGAAGCCTTGACCATGGCTTTCCCGAGGACTCCCATTTTTGTGGTGGAGCTGTTGGAGGATCTGGCCTGCTCTGCTGACACTGGTTACAAACTTGCACCCACTCCTCAATAGCTTTATCCATTCTGGGCCACCATACATACCCCCTTGCTAGGGCCTTCATTTGCACCATTCCCGGGTGCCCTTCATGTAGGGATTGCAAGACCCTGTGCCTGAGTGTCTCTGGGATCACAACTCTATTTCCCCAGAGTATGCAACCTTTTGATATGGAAAGTTCTGCTTGGCGGGCCTTGTAAGGCTGGAACTCATGTTCCATACTGCCCATTGGCCACCCCCTCCACACCCAGTTTAGCACACGGGATAGAACAGCGTCTTTAGCAGTGTGTGCAGCCACGTCTTTAGAAGAGACTGGTGCTTGGGGGAGTTCGTCTATGGCCAAGACTTCACATGCCAGGGCTGGATCGGTTCCTTAGTTAGGTAAGGGACAGCGGCTGAGTGTGTCAGCATGCCCTATGGCCTTGCCCGGCCGGTGTTCCAGATCAAAATCATATGCCTGCAAAAACAGCGCCCATCTAAGCATTCTAGGGGACATGATGTTAGGCAGCTGCTTATTGGGCACGAAAATCCCCAGTAGCGGCTTGTGGTCTGTGACCAACACAAATTTCCTGCCAAAAACAAAGTCATGGAACTTTTTGACAGCCGCTACTAATGCCAGACCTTCCTTGTCTATCTGGGCATAGTTCCTTTCTGCCGCAGACAGAGATCGTGAATAGAAAGCAATAGGCGCCTCCTAACCCGACCGCTCTGCAGTTTCATGGAGTGCCCACGAGTTCTTGTATTGTGAGAAAGGGAGAAAAGTACCTCTTTCTTTACCTGCTCTTTCCCATGCATAATCTTATAAACCTCGATCATGTCACCCCTCAGTCGTCTTTTCTCCAAGCTAAAGAGCCCTAAGCGCTTTAACCTTTCCTCATAGGGAAAGTGTTCCAACCCTTTTATCATTCGAGTTGCCCTTTTCTGCACTTTTTCCAAAGCTATAATATCCTTTTTAAGGTGTGGTGCCCAGAACTGCACACAGTATTCCAAATGAGGTCTCACCATTGATTTATATAGGGGCATTATTATATTGGCTGATCTGTTTTCAATACCCTTCCTAATAATCCCCAGCATAGCATTGGCCTTCTTTATTGCAGTCACACACTGTCTCGACATTTTCAGTGAGTTATCCACTACAACTCCAAGATCTCTCTCTTGCTCAGTCTCTGCCAGTTCAGACCCCATCAATGTGTATTTATATTTAGGATTTTTGGCTCCAATGTGCATCACCTTGCACTTGGCCACATTGAACCCCATTTGCCATGTTGACGCCCACTCGCCCATCCTTGACAGATCCCCTTGGAGTGCCTCACAATCCTCACTGGTTTTCACCACCCTGAACAACTTTGTATCATCCGCAAATTTAGCCACTTCACTGCTTACTCCCATCTCCAAATCATTAATGAACAAGTTAAAAAGCAGTGGACCAAGTACTGATCCCTGCGGTACCCCACTGCTTACCACCCTCCACTGAGAAAATTGCCCACCTACACTCACTCTCTGTTTTCTATGAACTAGCCAGTTTTTGATCCATAAAAGGACTTGTCCTTCTATCCCATGATTTTTGAGCTTACTTAGGAGCCTTTGATGAGGAACTTTATCAAAAGCTTTCTGGAAGTCAAGGTAAATAATATCTATTGGATCCCCCTTGTCCACATGTTTGTTCACCCCCTCAAAGAACACTAACAGGTTAGTGAGACAAGATCTTCCCTTACAGAAACCGTGCTGAGTCTGCCTCAATAGGTTTTGTTCATCTATGTGCCTACTAATTCTTTCCTTAATAATGGTTTCCACCAATTTACCCGGTATCGACGTCAGACTGACTGGCCTGTAATTTCCCGGATCTCCTCTGGAACCCTTTTTAAAGATGGGAGTGACATTAGCTACCTTCCAATCCTCAGGAATGGAGGCAGATTTTAAGGAAAGATTACATATCTTTGTCAGGAGATCCACAAGTTCACAATTGAGTTCTTTCAGAACTCTCGGATGTATGCCATCTGGGCCTGGTGATTTATCAGTTTTTAAGTTGTCTATCAGTTTTAGGACCTCCTCTCTCATCACCTCAATCTGACTCAGGTCTTCCAACACCCCTCCTGAAATCAGTGGTTCTGGAGTGGGCAAGCACTTCTCATCTTCCACAGTGAAGACGGAGGCAAAAAATGCATTTAGCTTCTCAGCCATTTCCCTATCATCCTTCAATACTCCTTTTACCCCTTGGTCGTCCAAGGGCCCCACTGCCTCCCTGGCTGGTTTCCTGTTTCTAATGTATTTGAAGAAAGTTTTATTGTTGGTTTTTACGTTTTTTGCTATATGCTCCTCATATTCCCTTTTCGAGTCGACCTCGAAAGAGCAGGGTTGGCTGTCTAGGAGTACTGTGACTGACTGAGATTTTTCCAGGACAACTGGTGCTGTTGATGACCAATGAGCTGGTCAGCGTGGCCGTTATCTGGCTGTGTGGTTCGCCTGCCGGGGATCGCTGTCTGTCACATGAATGGGGTGCTGGTTTCTTCTTTGCCGACCTGCAGACCTTTGCGATGTGCCCACGCCGTCCGCATGCCCGACACTCAAGATCTTGCGCTCAGCAGGAGTCGCGTTGGTGTTTCCCGCCACAACCGGAGCAGGCCTTGCTTGGTGCTGCTTTCATTTGAGTCCGCTTGCCTTGAACTGCGTTGACATCTTCAAGCGCATCAACGCCCTCTTCGTCAAGGGACTGGGAATGTACTTGCTGCTCTGACGACACTAGGCACTGCCGGACTTCTTTTGTAGACCTGTCGGCCGCCTCTGCTGCAACAGCCTCTTCGTAGGCCACGGCCCAGTTCAGGGTAGTTTTCGCGAATAGATGCTGCTGTATCCTCTCGTCCCGAAGGCCGCACCCCAGCCGGTCTCGGAGGGCGATTTCCACATCCGCGAAGTTGCACGGCCTCGCTGCCTTCCGAAGGGCCGCCACAAAGTCTGTGATGGTTTCATTAGCCACTTGGCTCCTTTTGTAAAAGGCGTGCCTGCAGGCGATCTCTGAAGGCTGCGGTGAGAAGTGAGCCTTCAGTTTCTTCGTGAGGTCAGCGAAGGAGACGGTCTTAATATCGGTCGGGGCCACCAACGACCTTGCAATGTCGAAGGTGCCTTTTCCGCAGGAACTCAGTAGGCACGCTCGCTTCTTTGCCTCTTCTGTGATGTCATGAGTTTCCAAGTGGAACTCGAACCTGGCGAGGTAGGAGTCCCAATCTTCAGACGAGGGTTCGAATGACTCAAACTTCTGGTTTCCATTTTTACATTTATCATGACTCACATTTTGGTAAGTTTCGATCAGATTGTTGTAGGCAACCTTGACAGCTTTTGCCAGAAAAATTTTAAATTGTTCCCATTTAAGAGTTCCAATTTCTGTATCTGTGTTTAACTCTTCATCGTCTGTACCCAGCTCCATTTTTTTTGAGCCCCCAGAGGGGATTTTGTAATTGATTTTTTTAACACTACAAAAAACTACAACAGAAAAGAGGAAGAGAAAAACTACATATAAGGGAGAAAGTAAAGAACCCACTACTGACTAAAAACCCAAGAGAGTAGATCCTCAAACTAGCTTTTTTGCCTACAGACTTTTCATCTTTGTACTTCTTATGAACTGTGTCAAACTTTTAGAACTTTTAACCCTCCCCATTTACATTTAATTGCCCAAAAACAGTGCCCCCCATCATCCCCTGGAACCAAAGTTCTCAAAGGCACAATTCAGAGTCCTTCAGCCTTTACTTCTTCTTCTCTCTTTTCTGCAGTTTGTAGGGACTTTTCAGGGCAGCTGCCCCCTGCTCAGACAAAGAGTCCTCGCCAGCTCCATTTTAACACTCCTGCATACAGTGAGCTTCAAACAGACTATCCACCAAGTAATTGTTTTTCTCAATTATATTCTCAAAGGAAAATTACTTTTTCTTACCCCTCCATTTTGCAGCGATGTTCATTTCCAATCATTTTTATAGCCACTCTTTCAAAGTTGGGAAAATTGATTGGGGTTGTTATAATCCAAATGCTCGTTCGCACTTCCACTTGAATCAACATGAAATGTATTTATTTCTGCAATGTGTTACATATAAATTGAAATCAAAATATTTTTTTAAAAAGGTTGGTTGCTGCTGTGAAAATCATGGCAGCGGCCATGTTTTCTCCTCTTCTTCACTCCCACTTCGGGGCAAAACATCAACCCCCCATGATTCGCTGTCAGTGGGGGTGGCCGAAAAAGCCCCTTGCCACTCTGCCTCCCGCCAGGAAGCAGAGCAGAGCTCCCACACACAAGCGGGGCCCCCCAAAATAACAAAGTGGAATTGGACAGCTCGGGAGTGACCCGAAGCACGTCCACTTGCAGTGCCGTACCGGAAATCCCACAAATATTATCCATAATTGTAAGAGTAACTCAGTAACATCTATCCTCCTATCAACGGATGCCGAAAAGGCCTTCGATAGGGTGGAACTGATATACCTCCAGGAACTTCTTAAGACAATGAAATTTGGTCCTATTTTTCGACAGGCAATTCAAGCTATGTATTCTAATCCGGTTGCTCAAGTACTTGTTAATCAATTTCGTTCAAATGATTTAAAATTTGAAAGAGGTACTAGGCAGGGGTGCCCCCTCTCCCCACTTTTATTTACTCTCTCTATAGACCTGCTAGCCCATGCAATTAGGTCTGATAATTTAATCCAGGGAATACATATAAAAGAGGTGGAGTTTAGGGTTAGTTTATATGCAGACGATATAATATTTTAACTAGTACAGAACAATCACTCCAACACTTACTTACCCACTTAAATAATTTTGATAAGGTGACAGGGTTTGTAGTCAATTATAAGAAATCAGAGATATACACTTTATATATATATCAGCTAATTTAAAAGAAAAGCTCCAATCAATGTTTCCATTTCAATGGGTTGAAAAAACATGGAGACACCTTGGAATTAATTTCACCATTGATAATCTAAATTTATATGCAAGTAATTATACTCTGCTTACTGAACAAGTTAAAAAGACATTGATGGAATGGTCTCAATTAAACATTACTTTAATTGAAAAATAAATTTAATTAAAACTATATTGCTACCTAAATTTATATTTCTTTTTCAAAATTTCCCATACCTATGAAAGATTTTCTATATTGGAAATTGCAAATAACTAAATTTCTG